CTCTCTATCATAGAGGAAACGATACCCAAACACATTGCTTTGGCTGGTATCTACGAAATTTCTTAGAATATTCCAATAGGAGCTTTTATCAGCGTATTATACAATTCGTGTATTAAGCGCGTCGTGGTGTTTAGCGTTTATGATAGTTGAAAACGTTAGAAAACTCTAGACTCTGTCAAAGCTATTGATTAGAAGAAAAATAAGAAAATATAACTTATCTGTTATGTCGCTACCCAGCACTGGATAAGTGGCGTACAATTAGTTTAGAGTTTCATTTTCACAAGTGTATATCCGATTTAAATACAGAAAATACAATTTATCTGCTGAGTCCTTATCCAGTTTAGGATTTCTCTTCCGCAAGTGTTTCAGATATCAACAGGATATGCATTGACGATATTACACATGTTACTACCATGAGTACAGTGGTTTCTCAGTTGAAGATGAAAGCATCTTTAGCATGCCTTAAAACTATAGTATCATAAACTTAGCATTAAGTGTGATGTGTCTCGGATTGCTACAGGTATCTACTATCACTAACTTATTCAGCTCTGTTCACGTATTTATGTCGCATAGTTTTATTCTCGTAAGAAGACATATTAATTTCATAATAATATTCTATTCAAATTGTGTATCCAGGCAATTAAAGTCACTCGCATATGAAATGCACTATTTATGCACTGGAATTAATCAATTACACGTTTTCATTTCTTAGCAATTTCCATGGGCAAGTGGCATATAAATTGTAATTAATTATGTCGCTTTTCAATTAATTTTTGCAAACACTCAGCTTTCCTGCAATAAAAGAGTTTCGTTATTGCACCTACTCACATGTCCGCTTGTGAGCAGCAGTGCATCCATTAATTTAGCCCACAACTAAGTTGGCTCAAAAGCAGAGTTGTTGCAGGCCCCATAACCACAGACAATGATGAGTGACATCGCATTTTTAAACGCAAACTTTTTGTCTTCAGTTTGTTTCAGTGGTCAGAAGTGCACATAATTAACGAGCATAGATTCTGATATGTCCAAGTGAGTTGAGTTAGTAGTAATTAACCCAACATAAATGCTTAATTCTAATGGCCAGTAGATAAGTCAGTCAGTTTACTCATCCCATACTCAAACCATTTTTGTTAGTCACTTACGTCCGGAGCAGTGCTTAAAATTGTTTATTTTGTCCATCGCATCATTAAATCTTTTTGTTTGTTTATCAATTTTAATTCTTCTGATTACAATCCTATAAAAAATTAATAAAAATTACAGGCTTACAATAATTTTAATGCTAATTACTCATTCGGTCTCTTACACCACTGTCAGATGGAAACTTATGCGTTTATTTATTATAATTCACACGAGTAATTAGCGAAATATAAGCGCAGGTCTTTGCGCCTTTGCGGCTTTGTTGCTTGTTAGCTGCCGACATCGGAACCGATTTCAGCTTGTCTTTCCAGAGGATTCATGTACTCATGTCGAAGTGCGCGCTCTTGTAATGACCAACGCTAATTATTGCATACATTGCATACATAACGTCTTAATAAAAGGTTTTAATTGTTGCTGGTAGAGTAGACAAGTCATTGCGCTACACTTTAGTGTAACCCTATGAGTTCATAATGTCAGTTGACATCAATTGCTTAAACAAGATTCTTTACTCTACTCAATATTTAAGAGAATACTGGTTTTGATGATATCGGAAGTTTCAGTAGTTATCGAGTTAATACTCGTATAAATAAGAATTTCGGATCCTTAATAGATCTTATTTAGTTAGTATTAAGTATTACTAACAATAAAATTTAGTATATGTCAGTTTGTTTGAAAGTTGACTTCATCTGTTGGATTTTTGAATAATGTCTACGTGTTTAACGTCTTTCATAGATTTATAATAGACATCTCGTTTACAACTGAGTGGTTGGTACGTTGTAGCAGTTTATCTTATTTTCTTTATTAATACAAACACATTGTATCCTTCCGATAGTTTCTCAGAGTTTAGGCAATTCATATCTCTCCGTTATTAAGAAAAGATCGTCACCTCAAAGTCTTCTAGTATCTTATCCTGTTGGTAATATTAATTGATCGTTTTACAAAATGTTGCCAGATATATTGATAGTGACAAAGATAAAAAAATTCAGCATAAACTAAATTTTAAAGTTAATGCGTCAATGTCCCAACCATGACATTAGCGCCCCTGATATGTGGAATCTTCAGATATATCCTGATATAGTACACGTTCGCAAATAATGAGTGCTATTATATCAATGGCTATAAAGTCTCGTTTATATAGTTTATTGCATTATATAGTTTAAGAATTTAGATTTTTTAAAAGACAAAAAGATTATGCAGTATAAAGTCAAAAAGTATATAGTCAAAAATCTACAGCATTATTTATTAAATTAATTAATTCACATTCATGTTACAATCACATCAGATATCGCAGATGAGTTTCTCAGTTAAGTTGAATTTCCTTAAACTTACGAAAGCAGTAAATGCACAACTTAGCTCAAATATTTCCATTGCAAATTGTGATTTAATGGATTTAATAGCAATTGGCATATTTTTATATTCCCCTAGGTTGTCCCTATATTTGGCAATCAATTGCCATTGTGACACGATTGAATTCTTTAATGTGGAGCCAAGAATTGTTGGGATGACTTAAAAATTGTTGAATAGACCTACCTATATGAATAACAAAATTTTCGACATACCAAGGTAATTGAAGTTTCTTCTATAGGGTGTTGTTTTGAAATTACTGTAGGTCCTTACGAGTGGACTTAGCTTTCTAATTATGGTAGAACCGAGACAACCATACAGCAAAGAGCACCTGCTTTAAGGAAAAGCAGAGTTCTCTCTGGCTTCGAAAATATTAATATAGCGGTTGTTTTTCAGTTTACGTTTATAAAATCCGTTACGTTTGCGAGAGTAATATTTGAAAAATTTTTGGATGTAGAAAAATGATGATTTAATCATAACTTGGTTCTGATATTTTTCTCTAATTTTTTAAACAATAATTTTCTTTATTAAAAATTTATTTGGCCTTTTGTCATTTGTCAAGGGTTAAATCTCATTTTAAGTAGGTTTTTCATTTACTTTCATTAGATGTGGAGTTGCTCTCTCCAACCCAAGCAATAGGAGTTGGAGAGAGCAATATAAGCAGTGCGAATTGAGGGTACAATTGTTAATTTCTCTTATTTCTTGAATATCGTAAATTTTAATTGTTGGTTCAATTTCCCTCTTAGCTCATCGGCATATTGCGCAATTAGCAAATTCACAACAATATTCAATATTTCAATATTTTTTTGGATTTGAAGTTCCAGAACACCAGAACATCAACATCAACAATATAAGCAGTGCGGATTGAGTTTACAATTGATCTAATTTTCAATTTAAAATATTTGTTCATACCTCAGTAGAAAATGTTGTTTGAAGTCAGGCTTTCTGGAGACTTATTCCATTCACCAAGGTGGCGCTTTGCTCCTAATAGGATCTACAGGAACTAATATGTCTATATATATTCAGTGTGCCCAACGATATAATATCATTGACCTAAAATTGTTCTTTGTTTATAAAAAAATATAGTTTTAATTTAAGATTTAAATTAATTTAATTAATTTCTCACACTTTCCGAATTCTCACAGGTAAACTCACTAAACGCCGTGATTAATTATCGCGTATTTAATTATTATTAATTTGCGTAGCTCACAAATGTCTCAAATAGTTTTTAGCGCATCTCAATGAATTTGCGGTTTTATTTCAATTTGAAATTTAATTTATAACAATTTTTCAATTTTTCAGTTTTCAGTTTTTAATTTTCAGTTTTTAATTTTTCAATTTTATTTATTCACGTTGACAGCCTAATTTGCTGTTATGACAAATGCCGACTCCTAAGCTTTTAATAATAATGGCGCGCGTAATAATTGCAACAACCACAACAATAACAATAACAATAACAACAACAACAATGCTAACAAAATTATTTAATTACATTAATAAACAGTGGCAGTTTAGAAAATTAACATAAACTCATTTTTAATTAATATTTTACGATATTTTATATGATTTCCAAACAATATTTTATGGCGAATTTATGTGAGGAAATAAATTATGTTGCGGCTTTGAGTGGCTCGGATCGGCGGCATTGATAATGGAGCGTCTAGATTGAGGCAGTTAAGGTAGTAGAGGCAGTTGAGGTGTTACTTTTATTGATTGATTTCAGTTTTAATCACATTAAATTAAAAAGTATTAATTTTAATAATATTTCGCTATCTTTCTATGCACACAATAAACAATGATTAATTTAAAAGCGATAAATTAAAGTGTTGAATTGTGTTTGGTTTCATTGGGAAAGTCATTAACGTAATTTACTCTGAATATTTCAAAAACGTTGTTAGCAGTAAATTATGTATCAATTAAAAACAGTTTAAGTTGAATAACCCAAGACATAATGCATTGTAACAAGTATCACAGAACTAAGCAAATAATCAAAAATATAGTACACATTAGGGCAGTGATCCAGAGAAAGTGAGAGAGCATCGAAGTTAAGTGTGGAATAGTGATTCGGAGAGAATGCAAAAGATCTAAATAAATTGACGAAACGTAATTTAAGCCCTTGGATTTTCAGTAATACGGTAGCACAATGGATCTGTGAGCCTAAGTGGATCCCCCTGTGATCGCCGGCACAAACAAACCTAACCTAATTTAAGTTAGGACAGTGATCCTCAAATATAGAGAGAGTATAACTGATCTGCGCAAATAAACGAAAATATGTTTTAGGTTACGACAGTGATCTCGAGAAACTGAGAAACTGAACTGAAGATCTAGTTTATGTTAGAAAGCCTTATAGATCTATGCAAGTAATTGAAAATGTCGTTTAAGTTAGGATAGTGATCCAGAGAAAGTGAGAGAGCTTCGT